GAGTAACCGACAAGCAAGCATTGAAGGTTTGTCAACAGGTCTTCGTGGACCGTCAGGGAAAGGTCAAAGATTGATCGTAACTTATATTGGTAGCGATAGTGGCTTTTTAGAAGCGTGTGACTTGATTTTCGTCTCTAAGAAAGGAGGTGATTACCATGACGAAATGAATGCCAGCTGCTTCGAGAGCTGGTTTCAAGGGGTGCTTCAGCGAGTTGAGCCCAACTCTGTGATCGTCATGGATAATGCTTCCTACCATAGTCGTCGAGCCGAACGTGTACCGACTATGAGATCTCGAAAAAGTGACATGCAGCAATGGTTGCGTGAAAAAGGAATCCCGTTTGACGATTCATGTGTGAAAGCGGAATTGTATGAAAAAATTAAACAGCACAAACCTGCGAACATTAGTTACGTGACTGATGAGATGGCCCGTCAATGTGGTGTCACTGTGCTGCGGTTACCGCCCTACCACTGTGAACTGAACTCAATAGAGCTCATCTGAGCTCAAGTGAAGGGTTATATTGCGCGCCATAACACAACCTTCAAATTACCAGACGTTAAGGTTTTACTTGAGACTTCCATACAGCTAGTAACGCCCGAAGCTTGGCAGAATGCTATCCGTCATGTTGTGAAGGAAGAAACAAAAATGTGGCAGCTTGACCACCACATCGACACCGTCATAGAGCTAGTTATAGTCAATTTCAACGAGGAAAGCGATAGCGACAGTTTATTACTGTCAGATGTAAGTGGAAGCGACGATGAATGAAGGTAATTCCGAAATTTTTGACTTACAATATGTTTCAAACCACTCTTTATTAAGCATGTGACAAATCTAGTTCACCCATGTTAAACATTCATACCCCGCCTATGAACAGCCGACTACTAGTAGTTAAGTGATGTTCACGTGAACATCGATGAGTCATTACAGTTTTAGATAGTTATAGTATACATAGTCCAAAGGTAACTGACTGTTTGGTGCGCCATATCCTCTAGCGGTATTATTGAGCCGTATTCCTTTGAAGATATGCATTAACAGTCAATTTCGAGCGATACACATGGTTTCAATAGGATGAGGCCACTGCCATACTTCCAGAGAATTGATGGACACGGTGAAAGCAGTTTTTCCTCAAAAAGTTATATCATAGTTTGGAGACATTGACTGGCCTCCTAGGTCACCCGACCTCACGCAATGCGATTATTCTTTATGGGGTCATGTGAAGTCATAAGTGTTTTCCAATAATCCGCTAACACTGGATTAGCTGAAAGACAACATTCGACAAGAAATAAACAACATCACTCCGGAACTCTGCAAGAGCGTATTTCAGAATTTGCGCGCGCGATTTGAAGAGTGTGTCCGAAGGATTAGCAAACATTTGGACGAAATGATATTTAAGAAATAAAACCCGCCGAATTTACGAACATGCTGATGGTAACAAATATTTTCTTTTCATTATGTTTGTATTTTTTTAAATCAAAAAATGAATTTTCCCACTGTACACCCTGTACTATAACTGGCATACTTGTACAACCGATACACAAGCGTTAAAATGTCAGAAAATATGCATTTGGGTCGGAAAATTCGGTAGTCTACTGCTGTTACGCATGTCGGTGTTGATGATACTTTAGACAGTTTTCCGAATCTGCTCTGAACAACCCCAACTTTTCTCTCTCAAGCTCGGACAATTAATTTTTTAACGCCCAAAGTTAAACAAAATGCGGTTGCACACTGTACGAGCCTCACTCTTTTTCTCGATGGTCTAACGTGAAACTAATAGTGAACAGTGTCGGCAAATAGCCGCTCAATTGAACGCCTGCAGGAAAGTTAAATTGGATACAAGAACTTTTAATGAACATTTGGGTTACATCCCGTGCTCTGCTCCTCCTTGTTACTATCCGTTGTTCCACCTGGATCTCTAGCGTACGCCGCTATTATTCTGATCCACTAACAAATAATTGGTTTCGGATGGTTAAGCCTTAGGATGTATCCCATTCATGAATGCATTACATCCGAAATAATAATTATCGGGTTATTGCTAGATTTCGGAAGTTCGATGGTTTCACTCGTTGAAATAGTCCAGGTAGTACGTTCGCATCTGATGGAAAAAGTATTCTGATTCGGATTTTTTGCAATTTCTGCAAAAGGGACTTCTTTTAACCAGTTTTTTAAACAAATTCTAACAATTGTTTTTTTGCTTCAAACTATTTTTAGATTTTTACGAGATTCTGAACGAAAATGTTCCTTTAGAACGTTTCTCTAAAGTTGAAAGTTTTCGAGATATAAGCGATATAGTATTTGAAAAAGAGCAAAATATGCCATTTTTGCCCATGAAAAGCAACATGAAAAAACGAAAATTTTAATGAATCCGAACTCATATTAATATAATTTCAATATAATACGTCTGCCATTTTAAAAAATAGCTTAATACTATTGACTAACGTATTCTACCTGAAGATAGCCGACCTAATGCTGGCTCACGTCCCAAAAATTATCCTAGATAAAGTAAGATACCGTAGCGTCATCCATGAGAAGTTATCATAGCTGTTCTTCTATTTACTATATACAGGGTGTCCCAGAAATAACATGCCAGAGTGATACGGGAGGTAGATTGGCTTCAGATCAATCAGATAAAATCAGCATGACCTTATTAAGTTTTCTAGTTTTCGCGATATTGCCGCGTTTAAGTTTTTTGTCAAAAAATCTCTACTTTTTGCTCCTTTCTTGACTGTTATAGCTATAAAGAACTTCTAACTTATGATTTTTTTCCTGTGCTACCATTAACTGTTGGTTGAGACAACAAAGTATTCATTTCATTGAAAACTAGCATGGCATGCTAAAAAAAAACTAAATTATTACATTTTGGTTACAATGCGAAAACCTTTACTAAAGTTTGACTAAGTACTGTGAAAAAAAATGTACCAAACTGAATCAGTAAAAGACCTTAAATGCTAGCTATTTAATGTTCTTTCAAAAATAGTATAACATTTGTAGGTTCTTTTTACTAAAAACTGAATAATTTCAGGTTTTGTCATTGAAGTCGTAATACTTGCGAAATACTACAAATAAAAACTAAAATTTTTAGAACAGCATTAAATATGCTACTTTTACGATTAATTGCAGATTCAGTCTGGTACATTTTTTTTCATAGTGATTAGGCAACCTTTAGTAAAGGTTTTCACATTGAAACAAAATGTAATAATTTTTTTAACATATGCTAATTTTCAATGAAATGAATACTCTATTGTCTCAAATAACTTTTAATGACAGCCCAGGAAAAAATCATAAGTTAGAAGTTCTTTATAGCTATAACAGGCAAAAAGGAGCAAAACGTAGGGATTTAGAAAAAACTTAAAAGTGGTAATATCTCGAAAACTAGAAAAGTTTTACTAAGGTATGTTGATTTTATCTGATCGATTTGAAGCCAATCTGCCTCCCGTCTCACTGGCGTGTGATTTCTGGGACACTCTGTATACATGCCTATATATAAAATGCTAGTGTCTCATAGATACTTTAGCCAATTATATGAGCATATAGGCAGCGCCATATATTCAAAATATACACAGTAATCAGAGAAATGCCTATGACAGATTATCATAGGTATCTCAATTTATCTCGAATAATTTTTCAAACGTGGGAATATAGTATAAGGTTGACTATATTCTAGTAGAATACGCTAATTAGTGCAAATACTGAATTAGCGACATGAACTGTAAAATTTTCTATCCTTTTGGGGATTGGTTGCAGCGCAAATCGAAAAAAGCAGTTTTTCCGCTACAGGATTAGGCTTTCCACAAATATTTTGAAGATAGTACTTACCAAAATCAAATAAGCTGATTTTTTCGATTAAATCAGAGTTTTATCAATTGGTGGAAATATGGCAATAATAAACTTTGAAATAACTTATTTACATTATTTTCTCTATTCCCCCAAAAATATTTGTTGTTCTCGGCGAAAAAACTTGTGTTGACATGTCGTGGCTGACTGATGTCAAGCATGCATTGAATCTTGGCCGAAACTTTTGAAAATTAACGAGGAGCATAAACATGAAATCGATGCCGTAGTGATGGAAAAAATTTCAAATATCTATTTGAAAAGATCTGCTGAAGACTACTATTTAGCAATTCTGAAGCCTATTTCTGTCGCCATTGGTAGGCTTCAAAGAACTGATGCGACCATTTCTGATGTCGTACCAGGATTCAAAAATCTCGAATCAGCGTGTGAGGAGACAAAACCACAACATCTATTAGCAGACGACGAAAAGAGTTGTGTTTTGAAAGTCGCGAAAGAACTACTTCACAGTGGGTTCTTGCGACTAATAATTGCATTCCTGCCAATATCAGATAATTTTGCGGACAATGTTTGATGAAGAAATTCTCAAAACTTCGAAAGCTTTAAATTGGTGGAAGTCTCAATAGAATGGCCATCTTATTCTTAAAGTACTATCCACCACTAAACAGCTGTTATCTGCTACTGCTTCTTCACCATCTGTCGAAATAGTGTTTTCCACATTTGGTTTGGTACATTGCAGAGTTTGAAAACTCTTGACAACCTAAAAAGCCGCTAAATTAGTTTTCCTGTAAAGCATTACAATTGACTTCCTAAACATAAATTTTGTGTTTTTTTTTCTTTTCTTTCGGTTAGTCTGAGTAGCTTTTATTATTATTTCAGTTATTTGCTTCGGCAACATGTTTTTACAGCAATTTATAATTTGATTTAAATCACGCTTAAAACTGTCAAAATCAATTGATTTAAATCGTTGCAACCCTGGTTAATTGTTTTACACTAATACCATCATGTGAGGCTTCAACTTATGACTGTGCTGTAAAAATTTCGTTGAAATATGCAGTGTTATTCAAAAGACACTTCGAGTAATGATTTCATATCCCTACTTCTAAGATTTCATTTTATCATTAAAAATATTTCAACAAACCCGTCATAAACTAAAGTCAACTTTTATCGTATACTAAACTTAGCATCGCAAAATCTTCTTTCAAAGTGAAATTACCTGTAAAGCACCCTTTAGGCGACCTAGCCTTAAAGTTCAACACCGGATTGATACTCTTCAAGCTGCACGGCGAGAACCGGTTGTTGTTCTTCTTATCGCCGGACGTGGCTCTGGCGAACATTATGAAGTTCCCGTCCTCTCCGCCAGGGGAACACTGTTCCGGATCGTGCTGAAATCACCGGGAGAACGGTTTAGCAAGCTGGATTAACTGGATGCAGGTACACGCCTTACAACAGTGTGTTCTTTAGTAAGTGTTTGTACAGTATGACGTGTATACGCTGAAGCAAGAGGGAGCAAAATATATCGTTAAAGGCAAGAGTGTAGGGTAGTGGCCTTTGTTGTCAAGACTAGTGGTGGAAGATTTTTCACGGACTGTGATTTAGTAACTGATATTTCTAAATTACAAATCACGTCTGTTACCAGATATTGTGAAAAGCACGACGTGAACTCGGTGATTTACGACAACAGCGAATCATCTTAGGATGAGAGCGATAACCACCGTAAGACCACGCAAGCGATGTCATGCGTTATAGGCAGTTGGCTCTATTTTGTATTATGCTCAGGATATCAGTATACCTATTATTTCATCGTTATTCGAAAGTCGTGATCACGTCACTGATACTGTTTCAAGTCACTGATACCAAAAAGTAACGATATGAGATATCACAGATTTTCAAAAATAACGATCTCGTCCATCTCTAGTCAAAATATTTTCAAGGCGGTACAACGAGGGAAGATGCAGATATATTATTATTAATAATAATATGTTCTATGTTTCTGTAACAATGACCAGAATCAATAAAACAATACAAAAACGGTCGAAACTCAGTCACGGATCAATGACGTCATTCCTGTTATGACAAGATTTTGGAGGTTATGGTCAACTAGTATGGTGGCTGCAATATAGTCGAAATCACGAAAGATGACGATTACGTAATCATTTTGGTCTGTAGTAAAGACAAACGACAGCGATTTGTGAATATTTTTAATGAAGTTTCAGATATGTTAGACAGAGACAAACAGAATTTTATTGTCTAAACAAACTGTATTGGTAATTTGCATGTATCCGACAAAGATAGACGATGTTTTCATGTTGCATGATCTATCGTATTTGAAAGACGAATAGTTAGGTTATGTTAAAGCAGGTTAGGTTGTTTTCTATTAATACTTTGGTCTTTGGTGTTCCTGTCTTAAGGTATTCTACTCACAACTGTTTTTTTTTAAAACAAAAACTCCCTACTAAAATTATCATTAAGGCATCACGCAAAACCATGAAATAAAATGAGAATAAAAATAATCGAAAAATCGTAATATAAATTTGTTCCCGACATCATGATTTTATCATCGACAATTTATGGTATGACGTAATATTGATCTTTCGTGATGTTGACTATATGATCCTAAGCGGCTTTGGACAACTATTGATGAGATTACTGGGAAAACAAAATTTAAAGAGTGTGTCACTGAGTTAAATACAACATCGGGAACAGTATTAAAAAATACTCAACAGATATGCGATGAATTTGTACAATTCTTTACTGACATAGGCGAAAATTTAGCAAGTAATATACAAGCAAATGTACAAAATACTCAGCCTCCAAAAAGAACTTTGAACTCATTTATTTTGGATAAAGTCGAACAATATGAAGTATACACCACTGTTATGTCCTTAAAAAAAAAGTCCTGGGTTCGATGGTATTAAAAGCGAGGATTTGAAAATTATAGCCGAGGACATAACAGAACCACTCACTTACCTAATCAACAAATGCTTTGAATCTGGCATATATCCCTCAATTTTAAAAAAGGTAATATAATACCGATACATAAATCAGGAACAAAAACAGATGTTAACAACTATAGACCAATATCAATAATATCCAGTGTAGCAAAGGTTTTTGAAAAAGTTTTATCTACTAGAATGATTCGATACCTCACAAGATTCAAAATTTTAAGTGAAAATCAATATGGATTTACAGAAGGGAAGGCTACATCGGACGCAATAACTAAAATTGTAAATCAAATATATCAAAATATTGATAACAGAATCCCTTCAATCTGCATTTTTGTTGATTTAAAGAAAGCTTTCGACACAGTTAATCACAAATTATTATTAGAAGCATTGGAGAGAATTGGTTTCAGAGGAAACGCGTACTCACTGATCGAAAGTTATTTGTCAAATCGCCCATAATCTGTGCAGATATCAGGATCATTTAGTAAAGAAATGTATATTAAGTGTGGTGTCCCACAAGGAACTGTCTTAGATCCTCTGTTATTCAATATATATTTAAATGATATTTTCCAAATTAATTGTGTTGGCAAAATAACTAGTTTTGCAGATGATACTGCAATATTATATGAAGGCACTGACTGGTCTGATCTGAAAAATGTAATTGAAAATGATTTTATCAAAATTATTCGGTGGTTTAACAGTAGAAAATTAAGCATTAACTACTCTAAAACACATTTTTTACCATTTGGATCTTATGCTAGACATCTGCCAAATTACACAAATTTCTCCTTCAATATTAATGATCAAAAAATGCAAATTAATAGAGTGCCCAACATAAAATACCTTGGAGTGGTCTTGGATCCTCACTTACGATGGGACATCCATGTCAATTATATTTTAAAGAAAGTTAGATTTGTATCCTACAAAATTAAATACCTTGAGAATATATTGACAGAAAAATATCTTCAAACATTATACCATGCACTGATTGAGCCTCATCTCACATATGGTATATTAGCATGGGGAGCTGCATGTTCCTCACATATCTATAATTTAGATGTTTTTCAAAAAAGTATTCTAAAAATGATATTTAAAAAACCGAAACTTTATCCCACTGAAAAATTATATTCAGATGTTCGAATGTATGATATAAGACAACTTTATTTCTTACACAGTATCACTCACTACCATAAATTTGTAAACACCGACCAAAAAATTAAACATAATCATTATACTAGATACAAAATTCGTGGCACAGTAGTTCCTCAACCGCATAAATCTATAATGCAGCGATCATATCTCTATTTAGCGCCTAAATTTTACGAAATTATACCTAAAGTCTTAAAAGATTTACGTTTCGGAAATTGTTTCAAAAGAAATTTAAAAAAGTGGCTACATTCTATATCTAGGACTGAAATTCATAAACTCATAAATACGAACATCAACTAAATACATAATCTACTGTAGCTAATTTTTGTCCTTTTTTGTCATTTGCATTCTACAGTTTCAACTTAAATTATTGGTCCATGTACAGGCGATGCCTTCTATTGGGCCTGTTTTGATTTTACGTATATATTTATTTACTCATATTGTTTGTTCTCTTTGTACATTGAGTAAATAAATATTATTATTATTATTATTATTATATATCAGCTGATTGCTTGGGCTAATGCGTACTTCAAGTTTTCTGTCAATCTTTTTTTTTTTGGTCGAGGACATATTTATGAATCAGATTATATCGGAAATATCATTTTAACTATCTTCCGGCGACATCCCAACAGAAACTGGACTATGAGTGTGTGTGAAAACTTTTAGGTACTACAATCTGACATCTATCGCCGATACTCTAAACAGCTGTTCGATATCACTAACGACTTGGATGACAACAAGCAACAGGGGTGACGTCATCATGCGCGGTATTCTCAAGACATAACATACATGAAGAGATGTAAGTCCGTCAAAACAGAAACCCATGCATAATCACTCCATGGTACGTATCAAATGTACATTATACAGGGTGTCCGCAAAGTTGGGGTTTTCCTTTACATGACGTGTAGATCTTGAAAACATAAACAATTTTTCTTAGTACCATATACACCAATGTCTTAAGGTAACCGAGATAAAGGGCTCTGCAACATCAAAAATATCTGAATACCGTCCTGTAGCCGCGACATCACGGAGTGGTACAATGTCACTGGCTCAACCCGACGACAGAACTGGGTCGGGGTCAGTGTGTCAGGTCAGCATGCAACCTTCAACCGACGGTTACGGTCACGGCTGTAGAGGTAATCGCGTAGACGAGAATCCCTCAACAAGCACTAGAGACGTGGCTAGAGAAGTGCAAGTATCAAAAACTAAAGTGTGGCGAACGCTGCGTGAAGAGGGGCTGTATCCGTTTCACGTCCAACGTGTACAAGCCCTTCAACCTGACGATTTTCCAGCAAGAGTGCGGTTTTGTGAGTGGTTGTTGCATCAACATGACAATAATCCGGACTTTTTGAAGTGCATATTGGTGACAGACGAATCTACATTCACGCGCAATGGGGTGAATAACTTTCGCAACACTCATGTTTGGTCAGTAGAAAATCCGCACGCTGTCCGTCGGGTACATTTTCAACAAACATTTTCGGTGATTGTTTGGGCTGGCATGGTGCGTCTGCTCGGTAACGCATCAGCTGATTTCATTTTCTGTTGGAGCGGTATGATTTCGGGCAGAGACGTACTTAGCCCTTCTCGTCAACTGGAGAGTGAGTACTTTTTCCTATATTTTTTTTACTTGGTCGCCCTCGTTTCACTACACATTACCTTTGTTATTTCAAGGGTAGTTGTTTCTGAAAAGGAAAACCACAACTTTGCGGACACCCTGTATAATAGTGCGTAACCACACAACAACCTTCTGTAGCGTGACTCGGTAGACTACACAGTCGAGCAAGCTCGCAAGCATTCCAGGCTGCGCCTCGCATTGTGATCAAGGCTAAATTGTGAGTTTCTCGTCAACGAAAATTATTTTCTCACAAAACCTCTATCAAAAATATTTTTTAAATAACTTATTTTCTTCCTTCTATTTCTTCCCTCCTGCTTTCGCGGGAAAATCAAACTGCTAGCAAAACACATTTCGAATTAGTTTCTCGTTTTCATGTACTATGAAACTGACTTGAAAACCCTTTAAAATGAAAGCAAATACAAAAACGTCACATATTTTCTATTCTTTCACCCGTACGAATCAGCTCTAAGCACTAAAGGATGACGAGGGATTGAACAGTGCATCTCCGTGCTTCATAGAATGTGACATACTCGTTTCACAGTGAAGAATTATTTTCTTGAATATAAGTCATACATTACAATGGAGAGTAAGAATCCCTATGGCTTATTTTAACACTTACCGGTGATCCAAAATTGTGTCCGATTTCATGTGCCAACGTAACGTGAGACACAGCGGGAGGCACGTGTTTTCCATAGTTCAGCAAAGTCACAATGCCGGTGTTCAGTGATTTCATGCTACCACGGTAGTGCTACGGAATAGAAATCGAATACAGTGGACCTCCGGTAATCCGACAAACATTATGCAGGGCAGTGTCGGACTATCGAATTTGTCAGATTTTAGAGCACTGCCTAAGACCCCCTATAGTCCGGAATTTTTTACAAAAGAGTACCTTGTAATCCGACAAATTACATATCCAATGGTAAGATTATATATGTTATGTATATGTATGTACTTTGAAGTAAAAATCATACATAGTTTATGTATGTCGAATTTAGTAAGTTAAATAATAATAGAGAGCTTACGTTTTATTATAAAATTAAGCATAAATGCACATACATATGTACCAAAATAATCAAGAATTATTAATCAAAATCATTAATGAATTTATCAAATTATGAAGCTTGGAAATATTCATCAATTTTTTTTTGTCTTCTCAAAAGTAAAAGTTCGTTGTAGGTTGTAGGATTCTCTTCAGCCCATTGTAAACTTGGCTCAAAGGCGTTAATTGCGTCTTGTGCTGTGACTTGTGGAGCAGTTGCAATCACGTCGTCGTTATTTTCCTGATTGTTTGTTGTATAATTAGAAACCTCTTTTATAATCTCTTCGTCAGACATTTCATGAAAAACATTTTCCTCTTTAGCCATTCCACGGCACCAGATTTCCAAATCTTCCGGACTTATCTGTGTTTCTGTAGCGACTTGTTCTATAACTTCCGAAGTTACACTGATTTGTGGAACGTTGCTAGGAGTGGTGACTATATCTGGCCTTAACTTTTTCCAAGACGATTTAATAGTTGATGACGGTAACGCATTCCACGACTGACAAAGAGCAAAAACCAAGTCTTTCATATTAAATTCTTTTAAAGTTTTTTCTATTGGTTGGTCTTTTGATACGGCTCTCAGAAGTAGGTTTTTCTTATAGTCTTGCTTGACAAACTGAATGATATTCTGGTCCATTGGTTGAATCAGTGCAGTGCAATTTGGCGGAAGAAACATCGCTGTGATGCATTTATCCTCAGTTGTTAGTTCTTCTTCAGACGGATGACCGGGAGCGTTATCAAGAAGCAACAACGCTTCTTGAGGAAAATTATGATCTTTTAACCATTTTCTAACTTCAGGTACGAAGCATTCATCAAACCACTTTTTGAAAAGGTCTTTTGTCATCCATGCACTTTTTTGTTCGTAATAGTGTACAGGTAAATCAATGTTTTTGAATGCCTGTGGTTTATTAGATTTCCCAATGACCATCACCTTAAGCGCGTGTGTGCCCGCAGCGTTAGCACATGGTAGTATGGTTACACGCTCTTTACTTACTTTTCGTCCAGGTACGGATTTTTCGTTACAAGTAACGAAAGTTTTGTTAGGCATCACACGCCAAAAGCCCTGATTCGTCTGCATTGTACAGCTGTGACGGGTCAAGAGTTAAATCGTTCACCTTTTACAAAAATCTTAATTTGAAGGGCTCTATGCAGGTGGCATCGTTAGAAAGTTTATCTCCTGTAATAGTCATTAAACGTATGCCATGACGACTTTTAAAACGGTCTAGCCATCCACTGCTGGCCACAAAATCATCTGTCTTTATTTCCTTATAAAAAAACTTAGCTTTCATGGCCAACATGGGTGCTGAAATTGGTGCATGCCTATTTCTTTCCTGAAGAAACCCCATGTACAAAGCTTCTTCCACTTCTGGATGTTCAGCTTTCTTGAGTGTCTGTCTCTTGCCTGGCCCGCAGTCAGTAGTTGACCCGAACTTCTTGATCTTCTCGTGGTTTCTTTTAATGTCATAAATTGTAGATCGGCCTACGCCGTATTCACTTGCTAAACTACTGAAAGTTTCATTGCGATTTAAGCGGTCTAAAATATCATATTTTTCTTTAATTGTCAATGTTTTGTGCTTTCGCTTCTGAGTTTGTGATGACATTACTAGGTACTATACTAATACACAATGAATAAGTAGTAAACAATGAACGCACGCTAGGCCGTACCGCTATCACCAGTAGTCAAATTCATACTAAGTAAAACAATGCTTACGCGTCGAGCACGATAGTTGTAACCTGTTTAAACCTGCGTGATCTACATTAGCGAAGATTGTCAAATACGTATGTATGTAATTCATATTCAAAGACATGTCGGATTACAGGGGGCGCCGGATTAGATAGGGGCTGGATTATCGGGGGTCCACTGTAGTCATTTTTTCAAGGTTGACCCAGAATAAGATAACAACGTCTTTGTTGCATACGAAACAAAAAGTAATGTCTACCTGCGATAAAAAAAATCTTCTACGGGACTCTCCAGCTTACAGAGGCTCCCCACGTAGTGTTTTTCACAATCTCCCGCAAGTTTTTAGGCAGTAAGCTATATTAAAAATGCTTAAGCGCTGAACCTAAGATTGTACGGCATGCTGTTGAAAGTAATTAAAATATCTCAGGACTTCTATGAGGCAAATTTGGCTATCAAGCATGGAGAGGCTGAATATTTCAAATCGTCTTCCGCCCTGGATGATTTAATGAAAAATTCTGAAAAAAATAGTGGCAAGTAGATTGACTCAGTACTTTCCAAACATGAGTCAAGATGAGCTTTGATTACGAAAAAATGTTTGAGCTCCGTAATGTTTTTGAATATATCCTAGCCTTAAACAATCAGAAACGAAGAAAGCAAATTTTCGATATTTGTCAAAATTGTAACCTCTCTTCAAAAATGTTTTATAATCGCTTAAAAAGGTTCAGAAAATTGAAGAGTATTCAAAAAAAAAACTTTGGGACAATGTGAAAGCTATTTTAATTTTTACTCGTAACACCGCTGCCATTAAGAGATTTTCAAAAATGAAATAGCATTACCTACTTCGATCCCGTATGAATTTACGTGTCGCAGACGTCGCAAAACAAATTTTATTCGATAAATTAAAATTTATCTGAACGTCTAAAATTTACGCACAAACACACAACAAATTTTGATACGGCGCCCCTGAGGAGGAAGCTGCATCACTATGTAAAGGTTATAAATAGACAAAAATGTTACTTTCTGGCCAGCTGTTCATGTCAATAGATGTCGAAACGTGAGGTCATGAAAAATAGGTTTCCCTTCTATCAAATCTGATTCCCAACGTGTGATCTCCAATCCCAAACGCTGCCTAGACTAATTAAAAGTGGACTGGGGATCTCAGATGCTGGTATATAAAGAAAACTAATTTAAACAAATTCAGACTAGGCGCAAGATGCAGACATATAATTTTTTTAAGTGGATTCTACAAGTTAGTCAGGTTTAAGCCGCAAATTTCACAGCTGTTGACATTTTTCATTAAATTCGGACTTTTTTTGCGACAACATATGAGTGGGTTCTGTTTTACATAACGTCTTCTCTACCCAATAAAACTGTTCATTTTTCAAACAAATCTTTGTTGTGACCCAAATATTGATTGCACCTCAAGGTACTCACCCCATTTTTCTCGCAAACTCCTCCAGCGTTCTTCAAATCTCCGGTCCACGCAAGTCCCAAGGTGCCCATTTCGAAGTCCCTGTAGGTAAACATATACGCCAGGCAGAAGGCGTCGTAGTCCTCCTCTGCAACAACAACAAAAAAGAAAAGTTTAGCTTCAGTGAGAGGAAGGAACAGATTTATTACCACCACCGGCAAGGTGTGGTCTTAATCTTTTTGGCTGCCACCGAAAGGAATTCCGCAGAGGAAATTTGGACTGACACCAGCCAACAGGAATACATGGGATAAAGAAAAACGATTCCTTTCTGGTAAACGTTTTATTCGGATTCCACAGATGCGATGATATTTATTACGGCATCCAGGTGTATAGTGAACACCTATTCAGATGCAAAATAAAATGTAATGGTTCGGTTATTTCAGTCACAAGAAGATAGAAGATAGCAGCTATGAGTAGTTATGTTATTGCATTTCCCTTCCCCAACAACGGACGCTCAGACTTGTCATAGAGTTTAATCGATTTACATGTATTTTTCTTTGTTCTACGTGTGCTACTAAGTTCAATAAAAGTAGTTTAAAAACAGGCAAAAAGAATATTTTCAAAAAGTAAAGTTTCCAAAGGGGGACCTCGGTTGGCCGCGTGGGTCAGAGTGTCGTGCTACTGATCAGCCGGCCGGCCGGGCCGCGAGTTCGAATCTCGCCTTCGCCATGGATGTTGTGTGTTTGTTTTAGGCAGCCGCGGTGCCGCAGTAGTAGACTCTTCGATCTCCTGATCAGTCGCCGTGCGCTGTGCGGGTTCGAGTCCCGTCCCAGGAGAAATTTTTCTCTTGGCTATGGATGTTGTGATTGTCCGTAGGTGGTAGATGGTCTCTGACTGTCGAACGCGGAGGTACCACCCGGCGGTTCTCGTAGGCGGAGCCAGAATGTGTGCATGTTGCATGGACACGTGTTCCCTCGCCAGAGTCCGTGTGGCGTCCCCCCTTTCCCATGTATCCCCTTTAGCCCCACGGTACCCAATGGGTGCTTAGGCCTTAGGCCTTCGTGGTAGTTGGAGTATATAAAAAAAAAGGCGAAATTTAAGTGCATACAGCTATACAGGGTGTCCCACATAGAACTGCAGCGAGCTATCTCCCGAAAAGCTCATGTAGGCCATGTATGAAAATTTGGGTTTGGGATGGAAATAATTCAGTCAAAATCTACCTAAAAATTGACAAATGTAGGCCAGGGACTTATAACATTTTTTTTTTCGTATTTCTACCATTGCTGTATGATTTTTAACGTGTCTTGTATAGTAGATCAGTAGATTTAATTACGTTAAGCCCCAACCCAAGTCAATTTTTCCAAATGGAAACCTCCATTTTTATAAGTTCATCGTATCGAGCGTTGAAAGTAACATTAATTTTCTATAAGGTTGTTTACTTCACAAATAAACAGTTTTCGAGATACCTGTATGGAAATAATGTTTTTTCTATTACTTCAAGCCTTTTACCATAAAATAATCTCAGTTGGCCATGTGGCGAGAATTTGACGAACTGCTGAGGATATGTCGCTATCGCCGCGCCATATACAGGGTGACTTCGTAGTTGAGTCATTTATTTTAACAGTGAGTAGATCTGATCAAAAGAAATGTTTTTTTCCTTTACCATTTTTCTGGTAAAATTAAAGTAACAAAGTTATAGCCCTTTGGAAGTTTGAGTACCGCCCTGTCTCAATAATAATATCATGTACTCGTGTTTGGCAACAACGGATATAATCCGCCTTATCGGTTCATCGCATCGGAAACAAAAAAGCGAAAGAATTTGGAACGATGTTTTTGCAATTAAGTATTTTATTCAGTTCAGTTATACATACAGTCAGTGTCTGTCGGTTAGCGTGTGAATAGTGTCTGTTGCGTGGCTCAGACGAAATAAAAAATGGCACATGTTTATGCGGATCGGTTTCCCAATCGAGTGCAACCAACCCCTCGTGCCTTTGTTAATGTAGTACAACGGGCTCGTGAATCAGGTGACTTAAGACCTCACAGGGGACCTCACGATCAAATACAGGTCCGCACTGAAATACTTGTCGGGAGGATACTTTATAAAACAAGGTAAACATTTTTTTTTAATTTTTTTTTATTTTTACACACATATTCTGGTTTATCTTCCTTCTACAATCATTATCTGAAAATTAATGACTCAACTTCAAAGTCACCCTGTATATATATATGAATCCCTATTTCACGTGGTCACGCCATAACTTGAGAACGACTTTACCGATTTCGTTCATCTTTTTTTTAAAGTTTCCTAATGCTGTATAGAAGGTCCTTACGAAAAAAAATCAAGAAAATTGCACAGAAAATTGTAGTAAAGTAAACCTAATAATTTTTTAAGCTACGCGCGTTTGACAGTTTGCTTGAACATGGAGCATGAGCAGAAGAAGAAGTATCTCAAGTACCAAAAGAGACAGGCACTCCTCTCCGCCATCTTTATTCCAACAGCTATTGACAGTTAGCTATGTGAGAGAAAATTGCTTATGAAAACAAGATGCTTTCGTCTTTGGAATTACATTTATTTACCATCCGTACTTTGTAATGGCCCCTTCAAAAGAAACTGCAGTGTTGCCTAATTGTTACCTTTGTCAGTTGACTCTATGAATAAAAATGGCGGATGAAAATACGTTTCTTACATATATTCCATATATTTACCCTTTTATTATAGATCCCAGTTCATAGCTAAGACAGAACAATGTCTTTTAAGCAAGAGAAACACCATCATTTCCATACATCTCGGAAAGTACTACTATAATTTTCGAAGTAGATGTTCCCTACAAAATTAACCTAATTTTCCCTGATTTTTTAAATGTAATTCTCAGTTTTTTGACCACCCTGTACCATGTGCTACCCAAATGTGGGATAAAATCTACTGAAGTAGGTTCCCTTCTAAAGGGTGTTCAGATAAGGAGGCTCGAAAGTTAAAATGGAAAAAAAAGGAAAAAAAATTAAGCCAGCACTAATATTGATCGTAAATAGCATTCGACGACATTATGTATGGAAGATTATATCGTTTAAATGGCCACCGCGACTGCGCTGTACAGCGTGCATTCGCATGGTCCAATTTTCGAGCACTTTTCCGCACATTTCAGCGTCTACCTGTCCGAGGACGCGAATGATGTTGGCCCTTAATGCTGCAATTGTTTGTGGCTTATCCGCATACACTTGAGACTTCACGTAGCCCCACAGGAAAAAGTCTAAAGGCGTTATATCGCACGATCTTGGTGGCCAGTGCACATCGCCGCCGCGCGAAATAATGAAACCGTTGAACTTTTCATGCAGTAAATCCAGCGTTGCGCGTGCGGTGTGGCACGTAGCGCCGTCCTGCTGGAACCAGATGTCTGTTAGATCCATATCGTCCAGTTGAGGCCACAGGAAATCATTAATCATGGCGCGATACCGATCTCCATTGACCGTAAGCGCGTTGCCCATAGCGTCCTCAAAAAAATATGGACCGATTACGCCGCCAGCCCAGAAACCGCACCATACAGTCACTTTAGCAGGATGCATAGCAATTAAGCAAGTCAGTTCAGGATTTTGGTCAGCCCATATACGGCAATTCTGTTTATTGACATACCCATTCATCCAGAAATGCGCCTCGTCGCTGAAGATGATTTTTCGTGCAAATGCAGGGTCGACTTGCAACTGCTCTAGAGCCCATGCGGCAAATGCACGTCGCTGCAATGACTGATTCGGGTCTTGACGCACGCTCTCTCGCACAGCAGCAATATTCTCGATTGTTCTTACTGTTCGTTGCCGTACGGGTGTTGTTTGGTCTGCCACTGAGCCAGTTCTCTCAAATTTATTGAGCAGACGTCGAATAGTGGACTCAGCAGGACGGCCATGCGCACCATAAATTGGACGCAATGCGCGGAACGTTTCACGAACCGAACATCTGTTTTGATGATAAATTTTCACAATTTCCACGCGTTGTTGAATCGTGTACTGCTCCATGATTAAATGTCAAGACTAACTTAATAACCTCACAAAATTTGACAGCTGTATCCCCACCGGTTTGGGCGCGCGCGCCGTTCAAACATCGAGCGTCCCTATCTGAACACCCTTTATAAGACACCCGTTACAAATTATATGACAAAGGAAAAAATATGAGAAAAATATGTTATGTAATCAAATGAGAAATCTCACAAACGATTAGACTTGGGATCCCCTTTTCCATCGTTATGAATATCTTTCCGTAGAAGATTGAAGTTGAGCTTAAAAACAGACAATTTCCAATATGTTTGAACAACCACAAAACGTAAAACTATTGCAATATCGGCGATGTCTCGAGTCAAACTACTTACATTCTATTTTAATGTCGCCACTTTGCTGCGAAGGTATTTCATATGTGGATATATCTTGTGAGTGCATAGGAATCTTTGGGAATGTCAGATATTCACGTATTTATTTACATTCCTTCCTCCCTCGACTATCGACGCTCAGGTGAATGCAAAACGATGCAAGCCACGCGAGTATCTGGATTTAATCGAGATTTTAGGATTGTCTTGGAAATACACTCTTCAGAGAATTCAAATAGAAGACAGCGAATCTTCGTTCTTGCCTGGTACATCTTCTACATTGATTACACGTTTGCTAGGATAGGCAAAAATAACGGCAAAAACACTATCAGTGTTAATTGCATTGGAGTGAATAGATGACATCGTAAAAATAGATGCCATTTTGCTACGATTAATATGATCGAATTGTACCAGTCCACAGCAGTTCTCAGGAAGGTCATAAATACAACAATTAAGATTATCCACTTATATACCTGAGGGACGCACTAGATCAGAAAGCATCATAAAGTACAAATAATATGTCACACCTTTTAATTAGTTATCACTGATCTTTCTGCCTTCAAAGTCAAGACATCATTACGTTGCTCTAGTCCGTTACTTAAGACATTTAAGCGTTGTTTGTGCAATTGCAAATTTCCGGGAGAGTTTTGGTTATTTGGTGTGTTGTATATCGTACTATTTTTTACATCTATACAAAATGAGTTTTTTGTAATAACTGCGTGCTCCCTGTACGAGTTCATGTATGAGTTTGCCTTACTGTGGACTGAGTTTGCTTTAAAATTAACATGAGACTATAAAGATT